ACAAATACATACTCACACAGCATACCCAGAATAAAGATAAGACACCAGAGGAGAGAGAGTTAGAAGAGTAAAAGTAACAGACTTGGACTCCCACTTGTTGCAGATATTGGAATTAACAGGCACAAAATGTTCAGTAACTCTTAAGGAAATACTTAATGGCATAGACGGATGGGAACAAATATGGAATGAACAGGGTTACCTAAATTAAAAAACATATTTTTAAAAGAACAGTTATTTTTAGAAATCAAAAGAAAGCATCATCGATGAAAACTAAATCATTGAACATGATAAAAGGGATTAGGCATACATGAAGAAAGAATTAGTGAAATTGAAAATGTAAGTGCAATGGTTTGGGTCTAGATGTCCCCTCAAAGCCTCCTGTGGTCCTAGGTTTGATCTAGAGTATGTGAAACTGGAATTGATTCATGATACAATGTTAGGCTCAAGGAGACTAGGATTAAGGGTGTGAGTGCTACCCCGCCCTAAGTAGTCTGGATGAGATAAAATGGGAAAGACACTGTTAAATCTTCTTGCTACTTTTGCTGCCTTGTGTGCACCATGTTGTTTCTCCTCTGCGATCCTTGTTTACCATCCCAGCCTCAGAGCCAGCTGATTATGGACTGAAACTTCTATGAACTGTAAACCAAATAAACCCCTTCCCCTCAAATTTTAGGTGTCAGGTGTTTTTGTCTCAGCAATGATACAAAAGTAACTAACAAAGAAATTTGGTACTGAGAGTGGAGTCATTGTTGTGACATTACTTGGCCACGTGGTTTAAGAGATTTTGTAAATGACTTGTTTCAAGGGTAAGAGTTAGGAAAGATTTGGAGATGTTGGCTATAGAAGTTGCACTGGAACACCTTAGGCTGTTTTGTATGGGAGATTCTGGTCAGAGCTCAGAAGGCAGTCAAGACAAGGCTCAGGAGGTTTCTGCTAGAAAGAAGGACTGGATTGGCTGTTGGACTTCAGATGATGTAAATTATGGCTTGAAATAAAGTTTGTCTGCATTTTATTCGTGTCCAGAGAATTTGCCTGAGACTGAAATTAGGGGCAGTGGACTAATTATCTTGCAGAAGAAATTTCATGGCAGTTGAACATTTAGGTGGTGGCATGGCTACTGTTGGGAGCTTTTAGCCAGATCTATGTGGAGAATCAAGAGCAAAGTGCCCAGCACAATGATTTAAAATGTTTTGAGTTTAGCCAGAAAGTAAGCTCCAGCAAAGCTGTGGACTGCAAAAATGGAGCAGAGGATATTTTGAGTGCTGAGAAGGAACAAGAGTATACAAAAGATGGCCTGAGGGCATCACAGGAAGCAGCAAGGCTCTACCCTTTGCAGTCTCAGAGTTGTAAAGGTGAAAGATTTTGCTTTGTTAAGAAAGCCCCTGAGTACCATGTTCCAAAATGGTGACAGCCTAGAGAATTTGTTCCTCAGGATTGGGTTCAGAGTGCTCAGCGATCCAGATACTCAACCCCTACACCCAAGAAAGAAGGAAACCTGGCTCCAGGTCCACCTGGAGCAGACCCTGGCATTATCCACATGGTGCTGGTTTTAGGTACACATGCAAAATGCAAGAGTTGTGGGGTCAGGAAGGCTTCTACCTGGATATCAGAAGAAGACCTGGGAGGGCCATGTGTGAACCTGTGAGTGAGAAGCCAAAGGCGCAGAGGAGACTGCAGAATTTTGGAGAAGCCAGGAGCATGATCATTTTAGAAAAGCTGCAAGGAGAGAGCAGTACAGGCCCTAGAGAGAATCCATGGGGGGTACAACCACCGGAAGTGCCATAGGGGTGGAGCCACCCAAACCCTTTGGAGTTCACAATTTGGCACAGATTGTCTCAGATGCTGTAAGTGGAACTGTGGGATTTAATATTTCTGCTGCTGGATTTTGGACTTAGCTTGGTCCCATCCCTTTGTATCCCCCTTTTGGAATAGTAATGTTTAGCTTGTGCCATTGACTGTTGGAAGGGTTTAACTTTCTTTTCCTTTGTACAGGGGCTTGCAGCTAAGAGTTTGCCTTAAATCTCAGAGAAGACTTTGGACTTGGAGTTTTCAGCAGTGCTGAAACTGTTAGGAGCTCGGCAGCTCTTAGAGATGGACTAAATGGCTTTTGTGTAAAGGAATGTACATGAGTCTTTGAGGGGCCAGGGGTAGAATGTTATGGTTTGGGTCTAGATGTCCCCCCAAAGCTTCATGAGGTATAGGCTTGATCTACAGTGTGTGAAGCTGGAACTGATTCATTCATGATGCAATGCTAGGCTCAAAGGCACTAGGATTAAGGGTTTGAGTGCTACCCACCCTAAATAGTCTGGATGAGGCAAAAGGGGCAAGAAGATGCTGTGAAACCCTCTTGCTACCTTTCCTACCTTGTGCCTGCCACGTTGTTTCTCCTCTGTGATCCTTCTTTGCCATCCCTGCCTTGGAGCTAGCAATTATGGACTAAAACCTCTATGAACTGTAAGCCAAATAAACCCCTTCCTTCCCAACTATGAGTGTTGGGTATTTTTATCTCAGCAATGAGAGAAAAGTAACTAACACAGTAATCAAATAAACTGACCAGAATGCAAGCTACTGTGACAGAGTAAATATATTATCAAAAGAAGGTAAGAGATATAAGTTTAGAATTAGAAAGTTTAAGATTTATCAAAATGAAATCTAAAATAATTTAGTAAAATAATTCTGGAGGAAGTAATATTTGATACAGTAAAGTTTTTGAGAAATAATAAATAGAGAGGAATAATGCCTACAAACTGGATACATAGGTAGATTTGAACTCATGAATAGATTCAGAGAACATAAAAATATCAAGCAAGATACTTAAAAAGGAAATATACAACCAAACACATCATAATAAAAGCATAAAAGATCGAAGAAAATTAAATGGCCTTAAAGGTATCTTGCAGGAGGTGAATTCGGGGTGTCAGAGCACTTTGAAAAGTGGGACAGATGGACAAAAGGCTTTTCAATATCAGCCACCAGTGTCGAAGGACCAGAGCTAAATGATGCGCTACTGAGTGTTCAAAAGTGGCTCTTCTGCAGGAAGGAGTAGGGGGGCACCCTGACCGGAAGCAGTTCTGATTCTCACAGGGTGAGCACTCCTAAGATGGGCCATTTCAAGCTCCCATCATGGCATCACCAAATGCAGTGTTAGGGAAAGATACGTTTTGTCGTCAGTAGGAGTCAGCTCCCACTGGCCTCAATGAACTGGATTTTTCAGTGTTGAGTTGTGTGTTGAACAAAACTATCTTCCAAGAATGAAGTTGAAGTACGGACCTTTTTTCAGCTAAAAAGGGCCCTTCACACAGGAAAAAAGCATCTGATTCGGAAACAAGGAAATTGAATGTGTTAGAAAGTAGAAAGGTCTGTGATGAAGGAATGGGAAGCAAAAAGGCACTGGCTATTGTTAGTAAATCAAATAAAGAGTATCTCCCAAAAATAACAGTTCTTCTTGTTAGGAAGGACCAATGGGATAAAAAAATAAAAGTCAACTCAGAGACCTGTTACTCTTGCTTGGTTCATTCAGCTGCCACTTGAAAATGAACACTGACATTTACTAGACGTTCTGGGGTTAGGCTTCCAGATTCACATTATGTTCTGCAAAATGTATCCCCTTTATACATCTGAAAGACACCTGAAACATGAATCATTTTCTTGGCTTTTCAACTCTTCCCAACGTTTGGCAGCAATCAGAGGCATAAGGCATCTCTGCAGCCGTCACTTACTGATCTTCCACCTCTTGCAGCTTGAGCTGCCTTACTGGGACCCACTTTGCTCCTGAGCTCTTGAGTGGCACTGGTAGATGATAAGCAGCTCTCTAGAAATCCCTATCAATCCACCTGGAAACCCACTTAGAAAATCCTTTCAAAAGACCATGATAAGAACTCACACCATAAGTACTACAACAATTTTGTTAAGAAACTAATGTCTTGTGTTAAATCTCCTCCTGTTTAAAATGCATAAAGTTATTTTTTTGCATTGTATTGTGACAGAGTTACAAAGTACATGACAGAATCATGTGAATATTTGGAAACCAAAAACAAGGAGGTAGAAGCAACCCCAACTATACTAGCAATCTCAAAATGGAAAAGGAGCTGATCCTGCCAATATGAAAAACAGAATTGGCCAAATTGGGTATAATGTCATGACTCAGTTATGTGCTGTTCGCGAGATCATACGTAAGGCTTAAAGGTAAAAGAAAGATTGAAAAGAAAGGATGAGAAAGGATATACAGGCAAACTATAACCAAAGCAAAACTGTAATAGTTATATTAGTTATAGATAAAATCATTTTAAGCTCAAGAAGATATTATTAAAGTTAAAGAACATCATTAAGTGTGACAAATATGTTCAATTCATCAAGAACATATAAATTTTTCAATCTTATGTGTAGCTAATAAACACCCTGAGATAGAAAGTAAAAATTTGTTAAACTTACAGTAGGAAAAACTCTATTACAATAGATTTCAATCAACTATCAACTGTTCACAATTTTTATTTTGTGTTTAAGTAAAAAATCAAAAATATTAAAGTAAAACATTATATGAATTTTAAAAATAATGATGTAAAACCTAACCAAATAAATGGTTTGTTATTACTGTCATTATTATTATTTATGTTCCTTGGGATTAAACCCAGGGTCTTCCCACTGAGGCATCCTTCTACCCCTTTCTATTGTAAGACAAGGTCTTGCTAACTTGCCCAGGCTGGACTCAAACTTGTGACCCTCTTGCTTTAGCCTGTGTATTATTTTACTTATTTACTTTGAGGCTTTACCTTTCTCAAATGCATACAAAGTAACTAATCCCAGAGAAATAAGTTCCAGTCTCCATGCTTGCCACACATGCATCTGAACGTATTCTGAATCAGAAATCTTGATTCTAGATTTTGGATACCCTGGGAGCAAAAGCGCCAGGTTTGAATCATGAGGAATTCCAATGGAAGGTATTTACTTATTCATTTATTTTAACAAACCACACTGGAAAGTTATCGACTACTGCAACAGACCTGTGACTTTGCCCAGGATGAGCGATCTTATGGTCCTGAACTCGACTTCAGGTGAGAAGTTATAACTTAGCCGGAGTTGCTGGTCCATCTGCCAGAAAAAAAGAAAACAGGCCTATCAGTCAAGGTCTTCAGGTACAGGGCACAAACAATTCCCATCGGGAAACAGTTGGAAAAATGCACAAAGCATAGGCTTCATTCTGGGATCTTTTCTCAGGAGAATTTAGAAATGTCTTGCTAATTCTCCTACAATGCACGTAAAATACCTATTTCTTTCTTCATTGTGAAATAAGAGCTTTCACTGGTGTTGTTCTCCCTGGGAAATTCTATACTTTTGACAGGTATTTATCTCTCCAAGGAGATTCCTCACCAAATTCTTTGCAGCAAACAAGTAAACAAATGAAACCAGTGCTGGAACTGGTACCCAGGATGAATGTCAAGTGGAAAGAGGCACCTTTCCCTGTCCCTCCCTTCTCCCCTTTAGTCCTTAGGGTCACCACTGTTCTCTTTTTCTCCAGACTTCTAACCTGGGCTCATTCAAGAGTGGACTGAGAGATTTCCTGAGCAAGAACTGCTGCAGTTTGACAACATTCTCACTCTAGGGAGGCAAGGCCAGGAGACAGTTAACAATGACACACCTGGCTGATCACCTACCCTGCAGGAGTGAAGAATTGCTCCCCAGGACAGTGTTTCCAGGCCATCCTTCAGGGATCCCTGGCCTCATCCATTGCAAATTCCAGTTCCATCTGTTTGCTCCCTCCACCTCATTCCCTGGCAGCGCTCTTTATCCACCCTGGCTACTCATGTTTCAGCCCAGTCAAATCCAACCAGTTCCTTCCAGACCCCACTCTGAGTCTCTGAAGGATGCTCTTCCTGGAAAGGCTGCTTGTCATGTGGTAGTGTGCCATAGGAAGAGGAGACTAGGACTCTAGGGCTGTGTGCCTGATGGCACAGCTGGGAAACAGCAGGCAGAGGTTCCTTCCATCTCCTCCTCCCAGGACTTTCCTTCCACACTTATGTGATCAGGATCCCTCGGGAGCCTCCCAGTACAGGAGACCCCTGCAGTTAGGTTCCAGTACCTTGACCAGTATATGGCTCAGGCTTGAGAAATAAAACTAAGAGACAGAACTAGGAGAGAAAGTGGGGAGCCAGGATGACCAATGGGCAAAGGTGCTGGCCATTCCCAGGCACTGACTTCTATTGGCAATCAATTGGGGTAAAGGCAAGCTGTGTACAGTGTCTATGGAAATTAATGTAAACAAGGCTCATAAAGGACAAGAAAAAACGTTCTCAAAATTAGAAACAGAATAGACAAAATATATGGTTGTAATTAGAACATTGTCCTTCTAGTCAGAAGGTTTTAGTTGTGGGAATGGAATTTGGGTGCAAGTTACTCTGACTTTGGCATGTAGGCCTGGCAACACTCACTTCTATAAATAAGCCAATTGTGGGGTTAACTCTTTACAGCCTGCTTTACCCATAATGAATTTTATGGTCCTCTGCATCCCAGGGTTGTGCTGGTTTCTCCTATTACTAAGAGTCATGGCTGGGTCCTTATATATAATTGTATGCTTTGTTACTATTTTGGGACTTAAATGCACTTTACTTATATCTGCCATTTATTGGACAATGGGATTTATGAGACATGATACTAATTCATACTTCCAAATTTATTTTTCTCTACAATACTATGAACTAGGTCCTGTTATTCCTGATAATAATATTATTAGTTAATATTGTGTTAATCTGTTTAAACTATATTGCATGTTAATAGTAGTACAGATGGTGAAACTGATGTCACAGAGTTGAATAACTTGACCCAGGACACAGCTCATCACCAAAGCTGTGTTCTCTTGCCTTAGAACAACTGGAGAACTTTATTTTATTCCTAAATCTCTTCAGAGGATATTTAATAAACAGTTGAACATGTACTGCATGGCAGGGGCTGATTTAAGGACACCCTGATCCACCCCTTCCAGAAAGTCTTCACGGAAGCTTTGTTTAGGTTATAGCTGACCCTTTTCGCCATTCATTTTAAAGTTTATTAGTATATGTTTGCAGTACATGAAGTTTGCATTCCTCTTAGGGAGTGAGTGCAGGTACATAACACAAGTAGATTTTTCTTATGGTCCCCTTCCCACCCACTTGTCTCCCTCCTTTAAATCTCCTTTCCCATTTTCATTCTTATTATTATCATTATTATTGCTATCATTCTTATTGTTATTATCATTTTATATAATTTATGACACATAATGTCATAAATTACATTCATTGTGCGTATATGGTACATGTAAGTGACACATCTTAAGTGTTTCTACTTTCTACTCCCCTCCCCATCCCCTACCCCTCACTTTCCTGGACTTTTTATCTACTTTGTAAGTAAGAAGCTGCATTATAATAACCTCTCTCCCCCTCCTTCCCCTCTGCCTACACTTCATCCTCTCTCTCTCTCTCTCTCTCTCTCTCTCTGTCCTAAACTATTGACATTTTCATAGCTACAATCAACTCTATGCATATTTTCTGTTGGAAACAGCAACTGGAAAAGTTTGCTGAGTGAATAGATGAACATCTTGTATTGATTCCTCTGCTATCTGCTGGGCTATGAAGACAGAGTCCATAGTAGCATCAGGAAGTCTGCAGAAGCTCCCATGCCTTTAGGTATAAGAGGTCTTTAGAATCCTTGGTTCCCCACCCATCATCTATTTAGTGCCCACTCATTGGGCTCGGACCTAGCCCTGGACAAGCTTTCTTCTGACTCTGCCAGAGCTCCTCCTCCTGCTGTCTCAAGGCCACCTCCTCAGCCAGGGAAAGATGCCTTCCCTCCAGCTTCACTGCCTGGGAAGAAGGGTCAAAGTGAATAGGGATGGCCTGCCAAGGGAAGAGAAGAAGCAGGGCTGATGGAAGTGGAGTTAGAGCTAAAATTCCCCTCACTCTGCTCCTCACCACTCCATGGGGTCCACAAGCTTAGTCCCAAGTGGTTCCCTGGACACAGATATCTGCTCAAGTGCCACACATGGAAGAGCTCATTATCCCAGCACAGGGGTCACCCTGTCCCAGGTTTTGCTTTGTGAGAACTTGCTTGGTCTTTAACACTTTCACCAGATCAGTAGTAGAGGGAGAGAAGGTTTCGGCAAATCAGTGTTTGTAAAAGTTGGAAGAGGAAGTTGAGATGTCTTAAAGGAATCTTGAGGCTGTTGAAGGACAGGAAATAGCTCACTCAGAGCATGGGCACCAGCCTTGGCACAGACTGAGTGCATCTGTATGCCAGTGCTGTTTCAGGTGCTAGGCTGCCTATTTGAAAAACTAAGCCCATGCACAGAGTGGAAGTAAAATAAAAGGATACAGAAAGATCTTTTCAAGATTTCATTATAGTATAGGCTAAGAAATCACTGACGTCAGCACGATGTGTATTATTTTATTGCATTCTCATGTAGCTATTTTATTCTTTGTATTGCTTTTGTCTTACTTACATTTGGTAAGGTGGTAAGCAAAACACTCTGTACTATTCACACCATTTCAGTGCTCAGGTTTGCAATCTGGCTTACAGAAGCTTAGTCCACCTGTGAACCTAGAATACTCAGTAACATTGGCAAGTTATTAAATGGACAGTAAAAAGGAGGAATGGGATAAAAATTCTCTTTTTTTCTTTGAGCAAGCCCCAGATGTCACTTTGTTATTGGATTTTTAGCTATGATCTTTCATATAAGCTCTGTGAGAACTGACCTAGTCTCATTGTGTTTATCCTTGTGTATAAAGTGAAAAGATAGATAGATAGATAGATAGATAGATAGATAGATAGATAGAAGTAGACAAATAGACTCATGGTCAGAAGGATGAGTCCGTTTTCTTGGATGGAGAATACTGATACCTACCTTCCCCTCTCTTTAACAGGTGCGGCAGTGCCTGAGACATTTTGCAAGGGGGAGTGGGTGGAGTTAGGGATATATTAATAGCCTGACCTTTCCTATTGCACCAAAGAGCTTATTCTAGATGGAGGAAAGGGAAAATAGGACTGGGCAGACAAGTATGTTATGTTCCTGTGCCACTGGAAGTTTGAAAACGAAACTTTTGCATCTTTGTTCTGCTCCTTTCATACATTAGCAATAGCATCTGCTCATCAGACAAGTGCATGTTACTGATTATAAGTTAATCATAGAAATTACTGAGATGGGGGAGTGAAATGGATCTTATTTCTCTGTTTCCTATTTGTATTTTTTATTTGTGGAAAAGGTGACAGGAAGTATAAACCAGGGGCAAAGGAGTCTTATGTACAAATGTGCACCAGAACACTGAGTCCAAACCTACTAAGGGAAGTCAGTCCCCATTCCTGTCATCCTTCTGTTCAGCTCCAATACAAATGTGCTCAGAGGATTTTCTCTCTGTGTATTCCCAGAGTAATTGCTAGAGGTAAGCCCATGAAGTTCTGATGACCTGGGAATTATTTGTACTATATGCCTGATCATTATTCCTGACTGCCCATTCCATTGAGATAACTAACAGTCATTTGTAACTTCTCCCATATTCCATAACCAAGTGATGACAAATGTTACTGACACTACTCCTATGACCTCTTTCCAATCCACCTCTCCACAGCTTCTCACACTGCTCTAGTTGAAGCCCTAGGATCTTTTCCTGCCTGATCTATGCCTGTGCCTCCTGTCTTTCCAGGCAGAGATCATAGGAATTGAAAACCACACCATGCTACTCTCATGCCTAACAGCCAATGCTTGCCCTCCCCCTCCACAGGGTCAATTCAATCTTTTGCACATAGTAGCTTAAGCAGTGTGGAATTCATCCATTTAGTCCACAAATATTTATTGAATGCCTATTGATGTTAGCCAATCCTTGATACAGTGGGGATTCTGTAATTCTGTAATAATGAAAACTGACAAAAATCTGGGTTTTCATGAAACTTAGAGTCTAGAGATGGGAGACAGTACAGAAGATTTGGTAAGTATGTAAATTTTATTGGATGTTAGATAGTAGCAAATTCTGAGGGAAAAAAAAGTAAAACAGGTAAAGGCAATGTGACCATAGGATTAAAGTCAGGAGAGAAACTGCAACCTGTCAGGAGAGGATTGGAGTTAGATATGCATTTCAGATACATTCATGGGCAAATACATAATAGCTAAAAACATGAGCTTCAATGAGATGAGCCATGGAGAGAGTGTAACTACCAAAGAGAAGGCATCCAGACAGGGAGCCCAGTTGTGCTTTAGTGGGTAGAATTTGGGGAGATGAGGGGTGACCTACAAAGGAGACAAGACTGAGAAACTAACATAGGCAGAAGAAAGCAGACACAAGTGGCATCCTGCAGGCAAGCATGACCAAGTCAAGTCCAAGAGCAGGGAAGCATCACCATATCCGCTGGCACAGAGAGGACAATGGAGGGAAGGACTGGGCCCTGACCACTGACTTCCACAAGATAAAACCACTGGAGCTCAAGTAGTACAATTTTGGAGCCATATGGAAAAACCTTGGTGTGGGGGTAAGGAAAAGGAAGGGTAATTTGGAAACCAAGTATATAAACAACATTTCCATTATCTGGGCAATAAGATGTGGAAGAAAATGGACAGTCAATGAAGTCTAGTGACAGATTTCTCCCCTTGACCCAAAGAGATTTTTGTTTACTTGTTTGTTTTGTCTTGTTGTTAACGAGTGGAATAATTGCTTCTTTCATGCTTTGGGAGTCCATCTAATAGAGATGAAAAAATATTTAAAAAGAGGGAGAAAGTAGAACTCTGGAGTAATGTTTGAGTGGGCTCTATGATATGACTCCCTGGAAGTAGCGCAGGCCTTAGCTAGGAACATGAACCATGCAGAGTCAGTAACAGGGAGAGATGCAAGCAGGTAGGGAATGTGCTGCTGAGTGCATAGATATTTTCTTCTTAATGCTGCATTTCTTAGAAGAAAGAAAAGTCATATGCTGAAAGTACAGATGGAATTGCAATTGCCTTAGAGAGAAACAATTTTTAAATGGGCAGGGAGGAGAAGAGGGGGATAGGTGGAATAAAATAACATGGAGTGATTGCTCATCAAATTGAAGGGCTCCACCCAAGGTTTGATTTTGAAGGGACACTCAAACCTTACCTATTCTCCATTTTGGTCTGGCCTCATGTGCTGTCTGACTGTTGTAGAGACCACTGAGATTTCAAGGAGTACTGACCACAGGCTTCAATTTTCAGACAGCTGCACTTGGAGCATCTTCCTGGGTCCTCTTCTCCCTTCTCCACCTAGCAACTCCTCTAGGAAGTGAGTGTTGATGCTCAGAAGTGACTTATGCCTTCCTCAGTGCTCCCTTGTACCTGTACCCACTTCCCCTACAGCCCTGGCATTGTCTGTTGGGAATTCCTCTTTTCCTGTGTATCTTCCTCAGTTCAGAGAGCGTCAGACTGAGCAGGCATTGAAATCATCTGCTCCCTCCAGGTCCCAGTTTCTAAGGGAATACTTATGACATAGCACAAGGCTTCTGAATTTGCATACCTAACAAGGACCCCTGCAATACTGAGGCTGCGAGGGAGGGGGTAATCCTTCCTGTAAGACTGGCTGTTTGAGTTGGTCCAAGACTAAAGCCAAATGCTACACCCTTCTACATCCCAAGCATTTGGCCCTACTCTTGGCTTAGGCACAAAAGCTCAGAAAAGCTTGACCCAGGGGCCATGGAGCATTGACTGAGTGGAAAGATTGAAAGTATGGTACCTGAATGGTAAACTCTCTTCCTTCTCGGTTAATCCGCAAATGGTGCATCCTTCTGTTGGCAAAGTTCTCTACATCAATGGTGAAAATATGGGTTTCATCCTTGCTTAACTGATAGCGAACTTGTAAACTTCCTTGAAAGAAAAAAGTTAGGAATTAGAATTAAGCATAGTGGGTACAAAATGCAAAGGTATGATAAGATTGTCATTTAGTCTTTCCTGTTTTCTAGGGACTCATGTCTCAACCCATTCATTATTCATATTGTTATAATGTATTGTGTATGTTCAGTAGGGTCCAAAGAGAAAATCCTGAATGTAGCTGCAAAATTCAAATGTGTGTGTGTGTGTATGTGTGATGTGTTATCAAAAGGTAAAATGCAAGTTTGAAAAATAAAGCAAGTATTATTTTGTAGTTGGATCTTGAGAACTTTGGTAAGATACAGTTAAGGCTATTTTCAATCTTTGTTCAATTCCAATTACTTTCTACAACTCTCTCTTTCTTCTCAATCTCGTTCTTCCTTTTAGAATTGGGAAGAAGGAGAGGAACTCCTTCCTGCTCTTTCTGGTGGATATACGATCCCTTTGATTGGAGTGTGGTGTGGTTAGGACACAGTGACCCTATTTAACACTTTATTGCCCTTTGGGATCTTCAGGTTTCACTAGGAGGCTGTTCACTATCCATTGGAGGTCAAGAAATCAATTTACTGGGCTTCAATCAGCATTTCTGACAAAATGGAACAGAATGGAAAAGGAAAACTGAGAGGCCCTAGAGACATATTAAGGACAAAAAGTGCATCTCGTGTGTGTGTGTGTGTGTGTGTGTGTGTGTGTATGTGTGTGTGTGTGTGTAGAGAGAGAGTGAGTTGAGGCACAATTCAAAACACTACCTGAAAATGATATTTTAGAAATTTGAAAGTTGTGCTATATAGGAAAATCAAGGTGAGAAGTGAACATCCATGGCTATTTACTTTATGTCAGACACATTTTTACATTGAACTCTCTCACCAGCATGGTTAGCTGGGATGGTTGTGCAGCCCACATGCCCACTGTGTATCCTTTCTCCCTCTCCATGGGGGTCATCAGCTCTAGTATCCTTGGGGCCCTGAACATAGAAGCCAAAATCTCTGCCCCTGGGCATATACAGAGCAGGAACATTGGCAGCAGGGCCAGTGTCATAAGCTGAGGGTCCGCAGGAAGAAAGATACAGTTGCTCAAATTTGGGTGAGGAAACATTAAGGTGACTCTTGCCCATGTCTGCGAAGTTTCTCATGCTCCAGAAACATCTCTCTGACCTGAGCCCACTTTTATCCCCTGGGCTGTGCACCCTGCAAAATAAGGACCTTGGGGGCTGGGGATTTAGCATAGTGGATCCAGCACCTGCCTTGCAAGCGCAAGGACCGGAGTTCAATCCCCCGTACAAATAAATAAATAAATAAATAAATAAATAAGGACTCTGTCCTTGACTGGCCTCAGCACTCACCAGCGTTCTCTCTTTCTCTCTCTTTCTTTCTTTCTCTCTCTCTCTTTCTCTCTCTCTCTCTCCTTTCTCTGTTTCTCATGAGACTGGTTAAAAATGAATTGCTTCTCATGGAATTTCAGATTACAAAATAATCGGATGTAAAATAGAAGAATAAATGGTTTAGGGGTATGAGGCCCTCTGCTACTAGAACCAGCCAATAGAAGTGTTCTACAGTCAAGCCTAGTTTTCCCGGGTTCTCTCAGGCCTTCTTCCCCTCCTCTATTTGCTTCACTCCTGCACTTCATCTCTAGCTCGGAGTTTCCTATCCCTGCCCCCTTCCATGGGTTGCTGCAATGGTGCAAGTGGCAAGTTTAAATTCCTAAAGACTGAGAACTGACAGAGAGAATGCGCTGTCCACAAATACGATAACGCAAAGAATGGACTGACTGTCCTGGACAGAAATGTGGTAGGATTTTTTTTAACACATTGTAATGCATTTTTTTTTCTCCTACTTAGTCTCACTTTTTTTCTGTTAGTCTATGTCAACATCCAACTCTACATTATGAAGGGCAGCAGTTATTTGCGCATGCCTAAGGATAGAGGTAAGACGATCAAGTAAAACTGATTTGAATCTTAGTTAGGCTTCCTTTCCCAAAAAGTACCTCATAGCCAGGCATTCTACTATACTGCTAAAAACACGAAATGGAAAAGTCCAACTAATACCTAGTTCAGCATTGCAAGATAGGACTTAAGGAAAAGAAGATCACCCATCATCTGTTCAAGAACACCATTTTCTGTTTGTTTTATCTTCTCACATTATTTTTTTGGTATCCTTACACTAATTTGGCCTTTCACACTGCCCTAAATTTTAGCATTCTAGCATATATTTGGTCATGTGACTCTAGTGCTTAAAAAATTCCAAGTCTTCCTAATTCTACGTAAAAAGTCTAACTTTTCAACTTTACCCCACACATATTATTTATATCTTAATTATACATAAACATTCAACATTCCTCCAAAAATGTTCCTCCTTGGTTCTGTTTATTAGTGTGTTTTTGTTCTGTTTTATTTTCCTGTCAGCCGAGTACGGCTTTTCTCTCCTTATGTGCCTGGCAATCTTCTCATTAAGACCCAGTTCCTGTGGCCCAGTTCTGCACTCAACCTTAAGACTCAGGGCATCTTTGCTTTCATTTGAATGGTGCTCATTTTTAATAAAAGTCTCAATTTATCATGATTCTTTTGTCCTTTGTCTCCTCTTGGATTTGGGCTCCCCAGGAGGAATAGTTGCTAGTTCGTTTTGTGTGTACAGGAAAGAGCACGTGCCCTGCTAGCATAGGGTTCCAAAACACATTTGTTGAATAGTATACCCACTCTAGAGCAGATTATCACCACTACCTCCAAATTATAAACTAACATTTATTCAATGCCTGCAATGTGTAAGGCACTAAAGACACAACTGGATATGATGCTGCAGTTCTCTTTAAAAGCTTATAGTCTTGTTGGAAATTAAAGAAAGAGTCATACTTGATACTGTAATATGAGGATCATGAATGAGGTACTGATATTTGTACAATATATATTTCTTCAAATCCTCAGGGTTTCAGAGTTAAAATGATCCAAAAGTAAAAATGTAGTGATAATATTCAATAATGCAAAGAGATTCAAACCGAAGAGTACAAAACTTTAAAAAGTATAAGATGTTTGTTCTTTCCATGTTACCATACTGCCCCCAGAGATATGAAACAATGACTGAATGGTGAGAGAAATCAATGGATGGGTGGAGGGAAATGTGGATTTCTTTACACAAAATACAGAATATATGTTTCCAAAAACAAAAACAATTGCAAGGTTTGAGCCAAATAGAGTTTTGCAAAGAAAGAAGTTTGTTGAACAAAGGTAGAACTTAGCTAGAAAAAAGCAAAGTACACTTATGTACTTGTCGGGATATAATCAGTTATGTGGCTGGTCTTCACTATACTGGACCAGTAAAACTACAGACCAGTAGAGCTTTTGAGGAGCCTAGTGAACATGGACCGAACCAACCTCTTCATTTTGAAAAACAGAAAGTATAACCCACAACTTGGAAAAAAATGTTAAAGAGAGTGGTCAATTTGGAAGACCTATGAAAGAATGACAAAGAATGTGGACTTATTCCTTAAAGGGGAATCCTGTACAGAGATTTAGTACGTGGATGGCTGGACTAGTTTACACAAAATGATACTTTCAGAATGGTAGCCTGGTTGGCACAATGTGCTTGTGAGACTAGAGAGAAAAGCAGGAGACATTATTGTCTCTCATGGCATCAGAGCATTGGGGAAAAAAAAATGACAAAAATATTGCGCTATGTCTGTAGAACAAAGGTCTGTTCTCACATTTCCTCTGATAGGTTATTTTCAGTTTCATGATTTCCATTTCTTTGAAAAGAAAGGGCTTTTCTCCATTCCATTTGGTACCAGTCCAGGCCAGTCTCAGACTTAAGTAGCTTTTCACACACCCTTTAGATTCTGCTAACTAGATATCCTCACAAATCACCTCTTCTTCCAGTTGTGCCACCTCACTAGCAGCACTGTCATCCACTGATTGCTCAAGATACTACAAGCCATGTGTGTTTCTTTCATTCCATTTTCTTCACTGATGCCCTTACATGCACATCACACATTCAAGTTCTCTCTAAATAAATCCTGTATTTCTGCACCTCTTTGTAGCTCCAGCAGTAAGTCCTACTGTAGTCCGTCACTATCTCTCACCTGGACTATTGTGACACATCTGATCTCATCTCCTGGACTCCAGTCTTACCTCCCTACTCCTCCATATCCCCGTATTTTCTACAATCAGTCAAAATAAGCACTTAAACTGTGAATCAAATGCCACAGTCTAAACATTTAAGTGGTTTTCCAATGCACAGGAAGTAAAACCCAAATTTGATGTGGTAGTAGGATGCTATATGATCTTCCTCTGTCTTCTTTGAACTTATTTCACTACAGACTTGCCATCATCCTCTAAGATCCAATACCTAGAAATAAACTACTTTTTGTTCCACTAGTGTGCCATGTCACTCTTGCTTCAGGACTATTAAACCTGCTATTCTCTTCACCCATAATTCTTGTTTTATAGATGTTTGCTACAAAGCTCTTCATTCACATCTTAGATCCAATGTGATGCACACAGGGATACTCTCTCTATCAATACCCCCATTTTTCAAATTATTGGTCATGAGTGATTAACACATTGTATAAACAATATTAAATTTAAGTAAAAAAATAAAATGGCAGAATGGATTAAAAAGGAAAATGTAACAATATGCTGTATACAAGAAACACACCTAACTCAAAAAGAAACTCATAGACGGAAAGTATAAGGATGGAAAACAGTTCTCCAACCCACAGGAACCCAGAAGAAAGCAGGGGTAGCAATCTTATTTGCAGACAAAGTAGATTTCAAACCAAAACTAATTAAGAGAGACAAAGATGGTCA